ATTGCTTTAATAAATTTAGTATGTTCTTCAGTTGACCAATAACGTCGTGACTGTAACATACTCTGAACAGGTTTTTCATTTGATTGTTCACTTGGACTACTATCAACCAGCACTGAATCAAAACTAGTAATTTGGTTTGTGTTTAATGTATTACATGAAAAACTCATGAGTTGTTGTTTGAGCATTTCATTCATCATTTCAAGATTATATATTTGTTGTGCTTGATCAATGAATGTAGAATATATTTGATTTTTATATTCATTAGAATTTACTTCTTCAAATGACATATATCTAATGACTGAATTTGATAATGTTTTGAGTTGAGATCTTAATCATCTATTGTCACTTCTTTGACTTGACTTTTCTTTTTCAAAACGATTCTATTTTTGGTTTCTCCTTCTTTAAACTATTTTAGGAAGTAGTAATATATCTAAAATAATTCCTTTTCTCTTAGTTAAAGTCAATTATTATATTGAACTATACATTTCTATTATTTTGTCTTTTATTTTTGACCCTTCAATACCTAAACTTGACCCTTCAACCAAAATTGATAATTCATTCTTACACATCAGATTTAACATTTTTATTGTTATGTTTTGAACTGGATATTTGAGTCTAAGATTATGAACATCAATACAACTACTATCTTTTTTTTCACTAATCAAATAATCATTAAATCTTTTAATACCAGTTTCAAGGTCAGCAAACATTAATGAGTCTTTTTGTAGTCGATTTAAATTTTCAAAAATAATTTTACATCTTAACTCTAATGTTCCATCTAACGCCCAAACAATTATTCCAAATAATTGAAGATGTTTCATTTCATTTCGAGTCCCACCAAAAAGTTTGTACAATTTTTGGCAGTCATAAAACTTTTTTTCAAGAGATTCACATGATTTTGCTCCAAAGTTATTACATTTTTTAACAATATTTTCACTTTCGTATTGAGAAATAGATAAAATATTTCCAACACCTTTAACCAACAACTCGATTGAAGATTGAATTTTAAAATGAAGAGAAAAAGACTGGTTTATTTTGATTTTTTCAAGCTCTTGCTTATGAAATAATATATAATTTGGGATTTGATAAGTTGACATAATCTCAGTAACTTTTCCAAAACGATAGACTGTGAATGGGTAATATTTAATTGCTTCAGGATCATCAAATTCAACTGTCCTTTCCAGTAACCCATAACATAATGATACTAATCCACATCTTCCTTTAAGTAAAATTAAATGAATCGTTTCAATAGTTGTGTACAATGGAAAGTCTGATGCCATACAACCTAATAACCATCTCCAAACTACTGAGGACATAACATTAATAATTGAAATTGATGGGTGTTGAAAAGTAATTAATTTTTTAATCAATTCTACATCAGCTTGAATACCAATCATGTTGTCAGTAAAATAATCATCTAATATTTTTATCAATTCTACTAATACACCATATGTCATTGACTCATCATTACTTACAAAAAGTAACGAAGCAGCAAGATGAAGTAATTGAGGAAGATAATTTCCATAACTAGCTTCTATAGATTTTAAAATTTGAATTAATTTAGTTGTCATTTCTTGTTTATTATGTGAGTTTCTAACAATTGTTCTTTGGGCATCTTTTAAAATATCTTCTTGATGAGTTATATTAATCTCAGGTAATTCTTTAGAATAGTTTTTAAGAAAACTTAAGTCAGGGGATGTAGGCAAATGTTTATTATATTTATGTACTTCAGTTCTTGTTGTTAAAACTTCTCCATATGGTGTGGTAGCGGAAAATGGGTATGGTGTTCTATATAATCTATTTCTTCTTCTTTGATTCATTTCTATTAACTTCCTACTTGTTTTATTTTTTAGTTCTCAATACCGATAAAATGTTTTATATAACATTATATAAAAATACTTAATATTAATATATTTAAACTATATAAAACAAAAAAGAACCCTAAAAAAGAAAGAACTAACCCTAAAAAAGAGCAATGTCTTCAGCAGTAAAAGCCACAGGAAAGACTCAAAAGAAACATACTGAAGCTCTTAAGAGTGTTCAAGTTTTTGGAAAGAAAAAGACAGCTATTGCAGTATGCCTTTGCAAAGAAGGAAAAGGTATGATTAGAGTTAATGGTGTTCCACTTGATCTCATTAATCCACCAGTATTAAGAATTAAAGTTTTTGAACCATTATTCATTGTTGGTAAAGAAAGTTATGCTAAATTAGACCTTAAAATTAGAGTCACTGGTGGTGGACAAGTTGCTCAAGCTTATGCTATTAGACAAGCTATTGCTAAAGCTCTTATTGCTTATAACCAAAAGTTTGTTGATGAAACTACAAAGAATGAACTTAAAGCTAAATTCCTTGAATATGATAGAACTCTCCTTGTTGCTGATCCAAGAAGATGTGAAGCTAAGAAATTCGGAGGACCAGGAGCTCGTGCTAAATACCAAAAATCATACAGATGAGCATTTTCAAATTAAGTGTGGTGGTTAATGTTGTTATTTTTTGTTTTTATAAATGTTTGTTTTTATAAAAATATATTGTTAAATAAAACAAAAAAATTAAAATAATAAAAATGAAATGGAATTAATTGTAAATAATATTATATAATGTTGAAGGAAAATGTGTTTTAATCAATACTTTTACTTAACGAAGAAACATCACGTTCTTCATATAATTCAAGAAGTTTAGAAACAACTTCACAAAATGACTTATAATTTTTTTGTTTTTGAATTTGTTTTAGTTGATTAAATACTTCAAGTGAAACACGAATTTTAGGATATTTTTGTTCAGACTTCTTTAATTCATTGTTAAGGGATTTTGGTTTTTTATTATCGGCAATTTCTTTTTCTTTTTTAATTGGAGAAATAGGATGAATTTCTATATTTTCCAACAATTCTCTTATTAATAATAATTGTTCATTATTTTGATTTAATTCATTAGGTTTATTTATTAATGGATAATCAACAAATGGATGATGAGGATAATCAATCATATTTTATTATTATTTAGTCAAAGTTCTCATTATAAAGAGACTAAATAAAGAGGAATTTCTTCATCAATAACTCCAGTTATAAACTATATTTATTAGTTTTTTATTATTTCTTTTGTTTGTATTAATTTCATATAAAAGAGCCAAACAGACAAAAACTATTTTCATATTTTAAAAATAGTAAAGAAGAGAGACTTATCTTGAATTTTTTTATTTTTGATGTTATTCAACTTTCATTTATATTTTAATTTCTTTTTTTCTTTTTTTCTTTTTTTTTTTTTTTTAATACAAATTTAGTATTTTCTAAAATCTTTAATTAATATGAATTAAAAATTTAATTAAATTATTATAATGTAATTTCTTCTTTAATTCTCTTTTTTTATAACTTTTAATATCTTTAAAAAACTATTGTATTTTTAGGTTTGGTAATTCAGTTAAATCAATCCTTGCTTTTGTAATAATAAATAATCCTTCTTTAAAATAATATTTCCTTCAGCATCTTCAAATTCTTCATCATTTGCAACATCAAATTCTGCTTCTTTTTTCATTACATCTAATTTATGAGCAAGTGCTAATGCATCTTTAATTCTACAAATATCAAAAAATTCTACAGAATTAGCTATACCAAGACATTTAAGTCCTCTTACGTGTTGAGCTTCTTGAAAATGTTTTTCATATTCTTTTCTTCCAAAATAACTTTTATTTCCACAAATTTCACATTTAAATTCTGTTCCAAGTCCATGAAGTTTATATAACCAAAATGGAATTGGTCTTCCATCATCTCCAATTGGATAGTTATCAATTCCTTTTCTTATTTCTTCATTATTTTCTAAATCTTCTTCATTTATTTCAATTTCATCTATAATATTTCCTTTAGCTATTTCATCTAATTCTTTTACTGTTCTTCCCATTTTTAAGTTTAAATTTTCTATTGTTGATTGAACTACTTTTTTCATTTCTTCATTTGTCATTAATTCTTTTATTAATAACATTGTTTCGTTAATACTTCTTTCTTCACTTTTTTTTACCATTTGAAAATGTTTTTTACTTTTGAAATGAGATTCTAAAACCGTTTCTTTTGAAAACTTTTTATCACAATACACACAAAAACAATTCTTTTTTAATACCTCTTCTTTATAATTCATGTTATTAATTTGTTCATCACTAAATTGTTTTTTAGTAATACTAATATTCATATTTATGTCAAATAATGGTTGACTTCTTTCAATAAAACTAATAAGATAGTTTAAAATATTATTTACATACTTCTTCCATTTATTACATGAACAATGATATCTTCTTTTCTGATTTTGCGGTGATTCCCATTCCCAAAACTCTCTAATATAATCAATATATTTCCAGTCGTCTTGACTAATATCTTCAACTAAATTTATCATTTCATTAAATATCACAATTAAATCAATACATTTTCCATTCATTTCTTCACCAGAAAATGGTATTGTAATTTCATAAATATCATCACTTGGTCCAACACTTTCAATAAATGAAACTGGTTTTCCTTTAAATTCATTTTTTATTTGTTCAATTCCTTGGTAAAATATTTTTAAAAGGTCAGTAGTATTTCCATTCCCACTTATCATTTGTAACTCTTCTTCTTTCTTCCCATTTTTATCTTCATATAAACTAATTAATTCTCCCGTTCTTTGATTAATTTCGTGATTGAGTTTCATAATTATATGTTCATTCTTGATTTTATCTTCTTGAAGAACTGGTTGATTCTTAATTCTTCTAACTATCTCATCTTCAAAAAGCTCAATTTCTTCATGTAGTTGTCGTGTCCTTTCCAATAAACTCATGATAAGTGAATTATGATTCATAGTTTTCTTTTTAATAATTTCATTATTTTAGTTATTTAAAACAAATAACAATTTTTAATTTCTTTTTACTTTTTTTTCAACACATTAAATTTATTAAAGAATTTTAAGATGATTAAAGAAAGAAAAATAGAAATTAAAAAAACTTAAAAAATAATAAAAAAAGAACTATAAAAAAATAAAAGGATGATTGGACTTCTTCTTTTTATAACATTTACAAGTACAAATGCTTACAGATTTATAGTACCAAATAGAGCACAGGAATGTGTATATTCTGAGATTAAAGACATTGAAAAAGTTATTGTTGAAATTGGAGTTATTTCAGGAGGTAATAAAGATATTGCATTTACAGTTACAGATCCATCTGGTTCTAATATATATTCAATTGTTTATGAGGAAGGTAAATACAATAATTATATTTATATCAATACTAAAACACCAGGTGTTTATTCATTCTGTTTTGATAATACAATGAGTCTTTATACTTCTAAATTAGTTGAATTCAAATTACAACTTGAACAAATTCAACCAGCAACAGAACAAGAAGTGAAGTCAATTAAAACTAAACTTCAACAAGTCTCAACATATTTAAATGATGCTAAAAATGATCAACGAAGATTAAGAATTCGAGAAAATCGTAATAGGCAAAGTTTGTTTTTTAATCACTTTTCAATGATTGAATCATATCAATTAATTTTCTTTTAGCTGGTGATGCTACTAATTTAAGAACCACTATTCTTTTCTTAATTGGTTGTTTCGTAATTATGGCAATGGGATGTTTCCAAGTTTGGTATATTAAGAGACAATTTAAGAGAGGTAGATAAATTACTTTTGAATTTCTTCATCATTTTTGTTTTTTATAACACTTTTAATTTAATTTTTTTTTGTTATTTATTAAGTAAAAGAAATAAACTAAAATTTATAATAAAATAATTAAAAAAAATAATAAAAGTAAAGAAAAGAAAGATGGAACCCTTAAAAAAGAAACTGGAAAAATAAAATAACCCTTGTGGCAATAGAAATGGCAGCCAAGAAGTCTGATGTTATGAGAAAGATTAAGATCGATAAACTTGTCCTTAATATTTCAGTTGGTGAGTCTGGAGATAGATTAACTCGTGCTGCTAAAGTCCTTGAAACTTTAACTGGACAAACCCCAGTTCTTTCTGAAGCCAGATACACTGTCCGTGCTTTCTCTATTAGAAGAAATGATCAAATTGCATGCCACGTTACAGTTAGAGGAGCTAAGGCTGCAGAAATCCTTGAAAAAGGATTGAAAGTCAAGGAATTTGAACTTAAAGCCAACAATTTCTCAGCTACTGGTAATTTTGGATTTGGTATTGAAGAACATATTGATCTTGGATTAAAATATGATCCACAAGTTGGAATTTATGGTATGGATTTCTTTGTTGTTCTTGCTAGACCAGGATTTAGAGTTTCTAGAAGAAAGAGAATGCAAGACAAAATTGGTAGAGACCATCTCTTGACTAAAGAAGATGCTATTAACTGGTTCAAAGAAACTTATGAAGGAATCGTTCTTAACAAATAATTGATTTGCACGGTACTTCGTTAGAATAAATAAAAATATTTGTTATTTTTTTAATATTTAAAACCAAAAAATAATTAATAAAAAAGGAAAGAAAAAAGAAATCAATCAAATCAAATTCAATTAATTGGTTTTACGAATTAACAAGTAAACTTGATCTTTCATATTATATGCAGAAAGTTTTTCTGGTTTACCATAAAGCATTAGTAATAAACCACCAAAAGAAGCGATAACAGATAAATTGTCATCATTTTTATTTTCAACAAATTTAAATACCATCCCACTCATTACATAATCAAAATCATCCATTTTAGTATTTTTACCAAAATTATCAGAATAACCTTGATGAATATCCATTGGACTTCCATCACGATTTAATGTTTTTGTTAAATCAAGTTTAATACGATCATGTCTATTTATGACTTTTATTTCTTATTTAAATGTAAAAATTATATCTTTGAAATAACAAACTCTTCTAATGGAAATAAGTCAGTATTTATATCAACAAATACAGTTAAATCTTCACCTTCTAATTTAAATCGTGAAACTCCTTCAAATATCTTTCCGCCAATGTCTTTTGCAATTACTTTGAATGTTCCACTTACTTCAACCATCTGTCTTTATTCATCTTTTTTCTCTTTTTCAAAACCCTCTTTTTTATTTTTATTTTTTTTTTCTATTTTTTTTTTCTTTAAATGAATGATTCTTTAATTTTTATTGATACAAGTAAATGTCTTTCAAGTATTTATTTTAACTTTGTTCTCATTATAAAAGAAATGCTTATAACATACTTAATTTTTAAGTGATATAGAGTTGATATGAGGTATAAAGTATATTGGATATATTAGGTTAATAAGGGATAGGTTTAACTTTAAAATTGAATTAATAAGAAATTATAAATGAATTTATAAGGATCTAAGTTCTAGTATTATCATTTTTATTACAATGGATATAGATATATTAATTGCAATGTCAACAGATGATTCAACTAGATTACGTTTAGAACAAATTAGAGAACAATACAACTCTATTGTTCCTATAGTAAATAATGAGTATGTTTCTTTTTGTACTAATGTTTTTACTGACTCAATCGATTCAGAAACACCTGACCAAATGAATCATCACTTAAGTGATATTTCATTTTTAAGAAGAAAAAAACAAGAGAGTGTCGCAGCTATTTCTAAGTTATTAGACCGTTTTGGTAGCTTTAATGAAATGAAAGTAAATGACACAGAACAGCTAAAAGTTCTTGATGATATGGAACGAAGGATTAGAGATCGGCTTAATAATCCTATTACTAGAGGGTATCAACCTAATCCCTATGAACAACAAAATCCTTCTTCATATCCTTCTGTATATCCTCAAGACATATATCAACAAGGAACGTATACAGCACAAGATAATGTTTATGAATCAAAACCAATTAAACGATATGATGAAATAGGAGAATATCAACCTCGCCATATAAAAATGGCAAAAACAGTTGATAGTGAGAGACCAATAACAGACCCATTAGTAAATAATGCTATGTCAAAGATTTTTAAAAGAGTAAAAAAATCTACAGTTAAATGTATATTTGATTCTGATGTAGATGGATGGGATCGTGTTGCTTTTACTGATATTATATCAGGTTTTTCTAGTGTTATGATTATAGTTTCACCTGTAGATGATAGAGTTTTTGGATGTTATATTGACACAGAAATCCATCCACATGGATGGAATGGTGGAGAATGTAGTTTTTTATGTGCATTACATGGAAATGACTTCTTTTGGGTTCATGGATATAATAAAGGAGTTCCTAAAGATGTTGACCTTTTAAAAATTGGTGAACCAAATGAAGATGTTTTCTTTTATTTTACTAAGTATATTTCTTTCCAAGCCAATAAAGGATTGAAAAAAAGTCATTTTGATGCAAAAATTTTAGAAATTGTACAACCTAAACCAGGAACATTTATTGGTGATGGTATTACCAAATATTTTGAGTTACGAAAGTTCATTGTTTTACATTTCTCTTGATTGAATTTTCATTTCTTTCATTTTGGGCTTTTTTCTCTTAATTTTTTTTTTTTTTGTTTTTTTTTTAATAACTTTTTTTTTATTTTTTGATTCAATTATTTTTTAGCTATAAGATGGAATTGTATCTTCTTTAATTACAAATACCAGTAAATTAAAGTGGTAAGATAATAGTTATTTTAATTCTTTTATTCTTTGTTTGATATGTTATTTTTTGATACAATAACAAAGATATTTCTGATTTATTATGTAATTGAAGTATAATATGATAGGTATGAATATCATTTATTTGTTTTTAGTATAAACGTTTTGTTAATACATTACAATGTACCATGATATTCATACAATATCTTTTTGTTAAAGAGTTTGTTGTCAATAAGTTTAATTTAAAAGATTTTTTGATGACAATAATAAACCTTACTATTTGATGATTTATTAGGTATAGTATTAGAATGTTTCTTTTTTCATGGACATTGATGGTTTAATTGTATGTTTCTTTTATTATAAAATTTGAACAATTGGCTTTAATTATTGAAACTTTACATTTTAAAAAATCAAACTTTTTTGGTTAGTTTTTATCATTATTTCTCTAGGACTATGAGAGTTTTTTATAAATTTTTGTTTCTTAAGATATTGAGATAAATTATTTATTTAATAAGACATTGTTAATTGAATAAGAATATTTCAAGATTGTTTTGATTAATTATTTTACTTTGTAAGAGTGTTTTAGGTTATTTAATAATTTTTTTAACGTTATGTACATATTCGTTTAACATTAATTACTTAATAATAGTTGAAATTTGTTTTTAGAGGTTTGTATATTTGATTAACTTATTTATTGTCTTAGTGAAATAATATTTGGTATAATAACAATAAAAAAATTAATACAAACTATTTTTAATGTTTGTTCTAAGAAGTATCTTTGTTTTGCGTTTTTTTTTTTAATTTGCTTCATTTTACTTAATCAATTCATTAAGTTTAATATTTGTTTAGTCAATGAATTGTATATTCAAAGTAATTAATGAATGTTTTAATTTATTTTTTATTAGTACTATTCAATAAGATTCTTATATTTTCAGTATTTCTTAATATTCTATATTTTTGAAGTTAATCATAAAGATAGATTAAAACATTATTTATACTATTTAATAAATTCCTTCATTCATTAGTTGTTTTATTTTATATAATGTGGTAATAGACAGAATCAGTTAGAGTGTTGTAACAAAAATATTAGAAATTTCCAGCTCCTCTCTTGTTTGCATTTTCTCTTGCAGCATCATAATAGTTTACTCCATTCTTTTCAAAATATTCTTTTAGGAATTTTTTTGTAACCAAATACCCTGCTGTTTTAAATAAATAAATACAGTCATCAATATCAATAGCATTATACATTAAAATATCCTCATAAATAGGTTGGTTCTTAAACCATTCTGTGATTTCTCTTTCTTCTTTGAAGCGTTTCCATTTCTTTCCATGCTTCTTCTTCGGTTTTGTTTCTTCTTTTTGTTTTTCATAATCATTGTTAATAGGACTTTCATTAACACCTTTTATTGGTGTATTAAGTTGTGTAATATGAGTAACTTCATTTTTTGTTTTATTTTTCTGTTCGTTTACATTAAATGAAGATGTTTTTGAAATTGGTTGTGATGGAATGGGACTGAGAAATGACTCTATTTCCAACTGTCTAAGTCTTCTTTCCTTTTCATTGATTAGTGAGGCTAACTCTTTATCAAACCATTCAAGTATTTCTACTTTTCTTTTGAGAAAGTCAGACTCACTTGATTTATTTACATTTTCTAATGTAATAATACATTCAGGTTGGACATCTTTTTTTTCTAAATGATTTATAATTCTTTGAGATATTACTGGTTGTTGTTCTTCATCTTCATCAAACTTATTAATATAAACGTCTTGAGATAAAAAATCATTTTTTGGATGATTAAAGATTGGGTGAAGCAGAAAAGATGATTTATTGTCAAATGTTTGAGAAGCTAACCCTTGGGTATTTTCTTTTTCTATAATAGATAATTCTTCTCTACAATATCTCTGAGAACATGCTTCTATTTCAATAAAGTCATGAACCTCTTCAAATTGCTTATTGTTTTTATTATAATATATTTTTATTCCATCATCACAAATAGTAGTTCTCTGACTAAATGGAATTTCCTCTTCTTCTACATACGTACTTTTTTCTTCAGTTATGATAACATTTTTTTGTCCATCAATATTAACATTTTCCTTTTTATCAAGTGACTGAATTGCTTCTTGTTCATCGTCTTGTATTCCAGTGACTTGTTTCATTTCATCGACTCCATAAAATGTTTTGCCTTTTCTGATATTTGATGTTAAAGGAATATCAACCAAAAGACATGTTGAATTTTCTCCTAATACTATTTCTTCTTTTTTACTTGTCTCAGGTATTTCAGTGTCGCCAAAGAGTTTGATTCCTTCTAACTTTCTCCTCTCTGGATCTATAGAACCAACACAAACAACTTCTGGAGTTTTAGAATGGCAAAATACAGGGTGGTTGAGAACAGCAGATATCCATTCTTGGTCACTCATATCATCATGTATTTCTATTTCATTGTCATCAATTATTTCAATTTCTTCAATGGCTTGGGTTTTTCTTTCATTCATAACATTTTAATTCTAAGTTTTTGTTTTAGTAAAAATAATATTCAATTATGTTATATATTACTATTTACTAAAATGATTTATTGTATTTCTAAATCTCAAATTTATATTTTATGAGATAATTGTTAATATTTTTCAATCATAAAGTTGTTACTCTATAAAATATGTTCATAGAACAATGACATTGTTTAACTTAGTTCCTTTGTTCATTCATTTTTTTGTCAATCATAACTACTTTGAATATTTGATACAGCAAAAATTTTAAAATGAATATAATAATTCGTTCTTTATAATGAGTATGAACCTTAATTATTAATTTATATTATCTTAATTTGTTTCTATCTTAATTCTTTTATTCTATAAAAGAGTTTTTATTTATGTTTAATTATAATTTTAACTTCATTTAATATAAATTATAATAATATATTTAGAAAGATACATAAGATCAACAGTATTTTAACTATGTTATATATTCAAACTGTCTGTATTATGACTATATAAGTAGTAAATACAAGAATCAAATGAACTTATTAATTTAAAATAATTTATAACTAAGACTTTATTGATGACACTTACAGTATAATGAAAATCATAAAGTTTGTATTTTTGAACAATATTCTTTTTTATGACATATTTTAATTACTTTTATTTCTTATTATCAATCCATAAGAATATATTAATTATCTCAATAAAGGATAAAACAGTATTAAAGGTTCTAACTATTAAATAATAAGACTTTTATTTATAAAAATAAAACAACTCAATTAGAAATCAATCGTCTCCCTCACTCTCATTATCTTCTTCTTCAATGTCATCATGCTCACTACCTGTTTCATTTTTATTTTCATTATTACTTTCATCTTCTTCATAATCACTATCATCATCAAAGCTATCCCAATCTTCATCTTTATCTTTTACTTGGAATTGTTTTAGTAATTCTTGTTGGTCACAATCAGGATTCTTTTCAAGTTGTCTAAAGAATGATTGTTTTTGCCTAAGACTTAACCTTTCAATTTGTACTTGTAACTCTTGATCTTCTTGACTCTCTTGTTTATCAACTTTAAAGCCACTAAAGATAAAATGAGTATTTGATATTTTATGTTAAAATAAAAAACAAACTTAACTATTTGTTTCTTTTCTCTGCACTTTGCACATATCCCTTCTTTAATAGCACATTCTTGACAAACTGTATGATAGGCATAACGTATATTTTTTTGTTTACAAATTAAACAAACACCAGGTACTTTTAGTGGCTTATATTTGTGAAACTTCTTTTTCCATTCAATTGTGTCATGACATTTTTGACATAACCCCTCATTAGGTAATGCTTTAATTTTTTTATAAACTGTACACCCTTTATAATCTTTAAATGCAGTTATATTTTGATGTTTTTGACCAAGTTTTTTGGTGTTTCCACGACGAGTTGACATATTATAATACTTTATTTTAACCCTTTTTTGTTTTTATTTTTCTCAACTTTAATTTTAGTTTATTGTTAATGTCAACTCAGCCTATCAAAGAATTAATTTCTTTATTATCTGATTTTTCAAAGTTTGTTATTTATTTAACAAATTTAATCTTGAATAATACTAATATCATCTTTAGAAAAATTAGTGATGATCTTGTTAGTTGGAACGGCACAAATCTTATGACAATAATTGAGTCATTATCTCCATCACTCATAGAAGAATTTAAACAATTGGAATTATCTAATGATGCAAATACTCAAATACAAATGGTTTATTTCTCTTTAATTATTTTTTTAATTATCTCTTATGTTATCCTTTCAACACTTGCTAACAATTTCAGATTATTCCGGAGTTGAAAACAGTTTATTCGCAATTCTTATTGACTAGTTATCAAGACACTGAAACTTATAAAACTGTACATCAACAATTATCTCTGATTATTCAAAGAATAGTTGGTATATTAGATGATAATATTGCATTGATTGATGGGTCTTTGTCTGAACTTAAACCTGTTTCCATACAACAAAAAATTGTTGATTTAACCCTTTTAGAATTAGAGACTTTATAAATGATGTTTAATTCTCAAGTTACTTCATTTTCAATATAATTCAATTGATAATTTGCAATTTTTATTTCCTGTATAAAAATAAATAAGAATATTTATTTATGTATTTACGTTTTTTATTTTTAATGATTGTTCTAACAATTTTATGAATAATATTCTTTTATTTTCATACGGCAATATTCAAATAAATCAATTCCATTAAATAATTAATAAAATCAATAAATATCAATATACTCAACCATTTAGATTTTTAAAAACCAAATAACTTTTATTTTTCTATTTATTATTATATCATTCTTTTATTTTCATTAAGACATGTTATTGGTATATAATTCTCTGCTTTTTTGCTATCTTCTTCTTTGTGTATTAGAATAGTTCTTCCTGTTAGCATTTCTATTGGAATGTTTTCTGGAGTGTCTAACCATTCATTAAACACTATAACTAATCTGCCTCTAACACTCTCTAATCTTTTCCAGTAATATCCCTGAATGCTGTCAATCACTGGTGCTTTCCATGATGGTATTCTTGTTATCACATTCTCTATGTTTTCTTTTGTGATTATTATTCTTTTCAAATTCCTTCTATTACTCTATTCAATTATCTCTTTTATTCTTACATTCTCTTTCTTTATTCTTTTTCCTCTGTTATATATCTTATTCAAAAACTCTTTTGTATCTTCTTCACTTGGTTTTTCTTGGGTACGAAAATTAGCAAAGAAAAAATGCATCTAAATAAATTACAAAAAAGAAAAAAGATGCAAAATAATTTGCATCCATAGAATTTTCCATTTATTATATTTTGCTCCTAAAAAATAAATAAAAATAAAAAAATATGATAAATATACAATCTGTATATATTTATGTTTATATTTTATTATCACTTGTAGAATTTTGTATGAAATATTAATGAAATAGATGATTTGATTATTCATATTTATTTTTATTCTTTTGTTTATATGTTATTTATCTATAGTATTTTTATATATTTATTTCTCTGTTTATATTATTTATATTATTTATATCATCTGTTTATCTCTATATTATTATATTCTTCTTATTTTATTATTTTTATGTTTATATTATTTAGATTTTCTTATTGTTATTCTTTTCTATTTGGATGTATTTGTTTATTTGAATATTCATCTTATTCATATTTTATATTATTATCATTTATATCTATTTTCATTTTATATTTATTCTCTTTTGTTTTATATTAATTTTATCTTTTATACTTTGATTTTATTATTATATCATTGACTATCATTTCTCGTTTTATTTATCATTTATTCTTATTATTCTTTTGTTTTATATTCTATCTATGTTATATATTCATATCATTTTCATTTATATTTTATCACTTATTATATGTTATAATAACATAACACATATGATTGATTATATAATAAACATCATGATGAAATTATACATATGAACAATAACATAAAAAAGAGTAAAATATTTTTCATTAATAAAATAATATTACTTATTTTACATCATTAAATTAGA